TATTTGACGATTTGTGGTTATGGAGAAGATTATAGTGTATTTGTCTGACGATTAGTGTTTATGAAAAAAAAAAATGTACATTATGCTGACATAACTTTCTAAAATATATGTTTAAATTAAGTGATAACACTGTCGTTATTTTTTGCTATTTTAAAAGGCATTAGTTATGTCCATTGTTTTGACTTTTCAATAAGGACATAATCCAAAAGAAAATTGGGGAGTAGTAAATTTTTTTTTTTGGAATCCTATTGGATCTAAGGACCGACCTCTAAAAAACTCAATTTTTTTTGGTATTGTACCTTCCAAATTTACTACTTCAATAGTGTTTTAATAATTATTATAGGTCATTTTAAAACTAAAAAATTTATTATTTTTGTGGGTGATTTATCACTTTTGTGACTGTTTTACTACTGTTGTGGTTGTTTTTATCACTATTATAGTAATTATTTTTGCCGCTTTTTTGTATAAAAAAATTGTCATTTTTGTGTGAAATTTATCACATTTGTAATTATTTTTACTACTATTATAATTATTTTTATCACTGATATGGTAACTATGCTGACCATTTGTTTAAGTACGACAACAATGATAGAAATAATCACATGTGATAAATAGAGTTATGGTACCAAAATTATTTTTTTGGGTACCATAAACAACTCCCCTCATAGCATGGTCGATGATCTATTGGAAGAGAGAATATTTAATGTAAAAGTGATATTATATCATCATCATCATCATGTAATGTCACCAATCAATTATGAATAAAAAAGTCAAACAAGTAAATTTTATTAATTCCACGTGATAGTTATTGAATGTAAAAGTTGACGGGCCAACCTAGACCAAGGCCAAATTAGAGATATAGATCAAACGCAAATTACAGATATAGACCAGACCCAAATTACATATAGAAAACAACAAAAACTCAATTACAATTGGTATATGGTCAAACCCACTTTCCTAAAAGGCCCAATCTATTATCGACGCACGTGAGAGTATCCATTTGAAGAGAAGAATCATGGGCACACAGTCAACAGAGACACATTGCTAGCCCCGCAAAATTACTTCTAATGTTACAAGGCAAAGCAAGCTTCAAGGGATCATTCCCCTATCACGTCGCCCGTTATAAGGATAAGGCGAGACTCATGGCATCACCTTACTCATGAGGATAACGCCTTAATCAAAGCTCTTCAGAGCCAACTTCGCTTGTCTATAAATTATAAGTTCTACCTACAAATGAAGTGTATCACACACATCTCAGCACACTATACTTCTCAAGTAATAAGATTCTCTGCCCACCATCGGCATTCCCAATGGAGTAGGTCATCCAGACCAAATTACCTAATCTTTATGTTTTCTTGTGTTAAGCCATCTTTACTTTATTTTTGATCGATTTTACATAAACTCACTTTTGTGCATTATTAGAAGTTACTGTCGATTATAGAAATTTGTGGGATCCACTAGTACTATATGTTTATTTATTTATTTTACTAGAGGGTTTCAAGGCTTACTTTGATTACTCTCTCGAATTCATCAGTTTAGTCACCGTTACTTTGAGCTGGGTTAAAGCATGTGTTTTGAAAAACAAGGGTGACTAGCTCTTAGAGAGTGTAGAAAAGAATTGAACCTTGGACCTCTGAGTTACTAAAGATCAGGTTCAACCATTAGACCACTCTTAAGGGTTTTATAAGTTTATATATGATTAACTTGTGACACTATATCGTGGTGATTACGTGATATCACCATTATATAGAATATTTTCGCTAGTTGGAGAGTCAACCGATACCTTGTATTCCATACCGCAAATCTGTTATTTTGTTTCCTTCGAATATTACAAATTGAGGGAGCCAAGCAAAGTTTCCTAACAGAGTTGGAGGGGTTTTATTCTTCCAGGAAGTTGCAGAGTAACCCCTACCAAATTGTCAAGAAAATGTTTGTCAAGGAATATAACATTTCCTTAAAATAAAGGAAGAATGGCACTTTGCATGCTGAATGATTTTAAAATTTTTACTGTGACCCTCAAAACTTAATTTACTCATAATACACTCTTAATTCCATAATATCATTACAATATTATCTTATACTAACTTTCGTTGTTTTCGTCAAATCTTCCTCCACGCTACGAACATAAATTTGGCAAAACAAACGCTAAAATTAGTGAGAGTTACATTGCAATTATATGATAGAGTGCTCAATAAAAATGCTTCTTTTTAAGAAAGGTAATGAGGAGAGAGAGAGAGAGAGAGAGAGAGAGAGAGCACTATAATGTTATAACCATGATTTCACAATTCTCAACTTTTTATTAAATAATTGAAGCAAACACTCTGACAAAAACATTAGTGGATACTATATATAAAAGAAAATACTATGTAATTCAAATTTGAATCTCAAATGAAGGGGTGCTATTGGATGAGTGGATCTCATCAATTTTTTTAAATGGACCCCACTAATTCAATGATCCTCTTCATTTGAGATGTAAATTTAAATTATAGATTTAAATTACATAACATTGCTCACATATAAATAGTCTACTTCCTAGAAGCCTAGTGGTGGGACCTTTCACCCGTCATTAATTCAATAATTTAATATTTTTTTTCAGTCTCCAATCAATAAATATTAAATCCAAGAGTTGCTCAAAGTTGGTCTTGGCACCACTTATAATAAGCAATAATTCATGGAACACATAATTCATGGATGAGTATTTTTTTTTTTTTTTGACTTGCACATTTATTGTAAAAAAATGGACAACAATTATTTATTACTATGATATGAAATAAAATTGATACTTTATATTATAACTAGTTATTACCTGTGCTTGAAGACACATGATAATAAAAAAGATAAACAATAAACATATTTATATTCATATTTAAAATCAAATCACAAACTTAGAGAAAAGATAAATGAATTTAAGTATCGATTTGTAGAAGGGGTGAGAGGTAGTGGGCAGCAGTGGTGGTGGTAGGAGATAGTGAGAATTGTGATGGGGGAGGGTGGCAGTGGTGGTGGTGGCGAAGATAGTAGCAGCGACGACGGTGGTGACGGCGGCGATGGCGGTGGTGGTGAGGACGGTGGGGGTGGGGGTGGGGGTGGTGATGGCGATGGCGATGGCGGTGGTGGTGGTGATGGTGACGATGGTGATAGTGGGGGCGGAGACAGTAGCAGCGACGACGGTGGTGACGGCGGCGGCGGCGATGACGGTGGTGGTGAGGACGATGGGGTTGGGGGTGGGGGTGGGGGTGGCGATGGCGGTGGCGGTGGTGGGGTTGGTGGTGGTAGAAATAGTGGTGAGACAATTTCAAACACTATTTTAAAAAAAAAAATATTTATGAGAAATAATTTCTAAACGTATTTTTAAAAAGTCACTCTAAAAACACAACCTTAGAAGCTTATTATTCTTATTAAATTTAAAATATTAATATTAGTCGTTAGATTAATTTAAAAAAATAATTAAAATAATCTCAACCACAAATAATAAAAATTATTTTATTTATTTTTAAAATTTGAATCATACGATACTTTATTATATAGATATAAAAAATTTTATACTTCAAATAGATAAAGTGTAATTTATCTTATTTTCTACTTCTCTGCAGAATCTGCTTTCCAAATTACAACCTCAATTTCTGCTCTCTCTGCTCACCCGCTCCTCTCCTTCTCTCTCTGCTTTCCTCTCTCACCTTTTCCCTTTTATATCATCCCGCTCTTCACCCTTCTAATTCAAACACCCACAGCAACACACCTGCATCTTCCCTTCCTGGAAATTGACACGAGAGCCACCACATCGCCATCGATTCCAAGTATGTTTCTCTCTCCTCTCTTCTCTCTTCTCTCTGCTTTTTCTCTCATCCACCCAACAACTCCAACCCACAGCCCCCAACCACCGTCTTCCCCACCCGCCCCTGTCCATAACTCCAACCCACCCCAAACAGGTCCAACCTTTAGCGACGGTTGGCGACGACCTCCTCTTCATCGACGGTTCTGAAGTTACATGATTCTGGATTTTATATTTAGGGTTTGAGATTTTTACATATTTGATTTTGTCGTGATTTCTTACATCCCTAATTTCAATTTCTCTCACAAACTAAAAAAAGAAAAATTCTTGCTGTGGTAGTGCATCTGCAAATAAAGACAAAGGAAGATATAGGGTTGAATGGCCTCTCTACTTTGAACTGTAACAAGATGAACCCCCTTCATCTACTAATGAAATTGGTGATCCACCCAAAGAGAGCCTTGATTGCAGTCGAATACCCAATAGTTGTAAATTTCTTTAATGATTCTTTATTCATAGGGAAGGATGGTGGCCATACTCTGTGGTTTCTTTCGTAACCGTCAAAAGTGGGTGAAAGTAAAGCAAAGAGAAAGAAAAGAGAAAAAATCAGACAATGGTTTTCTATCTTTCTCTGTCTCTAAATTTAATTCCCATTTTCTGATTGTTGCGGGTTGTTTATCTCGCCTCAATTGGCTCTAATCTCATATTTGCAAATTTTAGTGCTTTGACAAGGTGGTGACGATCATCTTATATCTGTTTGAATGGGCTATCTTCTTGCTTAATCATAACATAGTTCTTGAGTTTGAAAGTGGAGATGGAATCAATAATATAAAATTTGGGTAACTCGTTACATTTGTTGGCCGTTAAATGCTGTTTTTTCAAGCTGTTAACTCCCCATCTCTCTCTTCTCTCCTCTTCTCTTAAGGGTGCTGCCAGCAACCACCGGTTGATTAATTGACTGTGCTGGTATCGTAGAAGAAGTTGAGTGGGGAAGCAAAAAAGTGGATAGGAGGTAACCAAGGAAAAAAGGGAAAACATACAAACTTTGTTAAGAAGAATCCCAACTCCCAAGTAGAATCTTAAGCAGAATTCTCACATACATGAATTGCTTCTTTCCCTTGGAAGGTTTTCTTAATCAGAATTAATAACAAGTTCCTATTCTTATACATATCTTTTGGTTCCCAACTGCAGCAGCTAGGAATTGCTCTGAAGAACATCATTCTCGAAGGTGATGGAGACATTCCATCACTCACAAATTGAAAAAGGTCAGTTCTCTCTTTTTTTTCTTGGTTATGCTGTAGAAATCATTTCTCTCGAGTTTTCATTACTTTTATCCCTCTTTCTATTAGCAGGTGTACATATGTGTAATCTAGATAGCTAACTTCCTCCACACAACTAGACTTGATGTACGATTGAGTTGACCACCATTAACTTGAGATCTAATAATTCATCATTTTGGAGCATAATTTGACTATTGGTTTTGCAAACTCTAATTTTATAGTGTCTCCAAGGTCCACAATAACAATTACAGTCCTGCATAATATCAGGTGCCATATTTTGTCAACTGTTAATCCTTTTGATTCTAAGGTAAAATGCCACTTTCATCATTTAGATGCTAACAAGCTACTGTTGCAAAATACTATAATAAGTTCTTTCTTAACTTCAGGTTTGCGCAGAATCATAATTGCTTTTTTGATAGATAATTCGACATTCTTACTTCTTATGCATAAATGACGTGAGTTGTGCTATTGTTTTTTATTGGGTTGGATGACTATAATGCATTGCAAACTTTAGATATTGCACCTCTATTGGCCTATGGTATGGCCAGAGATGCTTCAGATTTTTCTGTATCCATGTTGAGTCAGTTATGACAGAACGTGTGTCCTTATGGGCTTCAAGTCAAAATATGGTGAAATGCCAAAGAAATTATATATTTGAGAGGATATGAGAAATTAATTTCTGAGTGTTGATTTTATATGTTTAGTGCGAATCAATCACCGTGTGTGAGTATTGAGTTAGAAAGATGTAACCAATTGGTTGAAAAAGAATGGGGATTAAAAGAAAGAAGTATGGTAATATGACCCCAGATTGAGTGGTTTGTGATTGAAAAATTTTAGATCGTGAAATACTTAACTGATTTTTAACTGTTTAATTCGGTACAATCTTGAAGTTTGATGAAAACTCTCCAACCAAACACAAATGGATGTATATATTTAAGTTCCAAATACAAGTGACGTGTTCAAGTTAGGTACATACATATATGCATGTTTATTTCTAGAGCATAATTTAGTTGAAGAAATTTGGTGGATGATTTGATGGTTATTTACTTTTCTGAATTGAAACCTTTGGTTTATCTCATCCTTGTAACATTTCGTTGGTGAATTATGCACAGCTCACAAGCTTTTCCTTTGTATTATATGTTTCTGAAAAGTGGAAAATCTTTTTCCTTTTTTGGTTTGGTGAACTTGGGATGTTACTGATGTGCAGTTTATGCCCATATTTGAAGATGGGATTTGCAATTTATATGTTTTAAACTGTGAGAAATTTTTTATAGAAAGTTTTGTCAAAATTTTTTTAAAGAATAGTGGACTCATATTGATTGGCGATATTGCATGTCATTGGGTGTCTTTAGGCACATGTAATCGCTTACAATTTTTTTGTTTATTACATAGTGTCTTCAGGCATAGGTAGTCTCTAATATTGTAAAAATGATTGCCCCAACCTAATCCCCGTTTTATTAAGATTTTAAAGTTGTTAAATTAAGTAGTGTCTAGCCAGTCATGCAATTGACCTGGTCTGATCCTATTGTTGAACTGTTCACACTTGAATATGTTAACCAACTCTATTGTGCGACGAGCTTTCTTTAAAATTTTCTTCTTGAGCCGTTTTGAGATAGGGTTTGGAATTATTTTTCTTTAATTTTTCATTTCTTTGTTTTACATTATTTTTGGTTTGGTCTTTTTTTTTAATGCGAGACTATCCATTACCCAGAAATAATGGACTAACAGAAACATAAGACAAGCGTGCCTACAAGTGAAGCTTTTATGATTGGATGCTGAAAGAAATATTCTATATCTGCCTTTGGAATCCATTGACTTTATCTATCTTTCTCTTCTACCTGTTCCTCCAGATGATGAATTGGCCCTTCATCAATTTGATTCGATCTTGAGTTTGTCCATGGGTGGTAAAACCCTTCAAGGCGACCCTTCTTTTTCTTCTTCTTCTCTATCACCTCCATGGAAGTACGACGTTTTCTTGAGTTTTCGTGGTGAAGATACACACGAAAACTTCATCCACCATCTCTACACAGCTTTGGACCAGGCTGGTATTTGCATATTCAGGGATGATGACAAACTACCCCGAGGAAAAGAAATTTCATTGGAACTGCTGAAAGCAATTCGAGAGTCAAAGATTTCTATTATTGTATTCTCAAAGAACTATGCTTCTTCCCGGTGGTGCCTGGATGAGCTTGTGGAGATCCTTGAATGCAGGAAAATAATAGGACAGTTGGTTCTTCCTATATTTTATGATGTCAATCCATCTGATGTACGTAAGCAAAGGGGGAGCTTTGCAGAAGCCTTTGCAAGGCATGCAGCGAGTTGTGTGGTCGAAATTGAGAAGGTGGAGAAATGGAGAGTTGCACTTACTGAAGCTGGGAATTTAGCAGGGTGGGATTTGCAAAATGTTGCAAATGGGTAAGTAATCCATGCTAGACTTATTTTCTTGTGCACTTCATATCTCTATTTGTTTTGGGGGTGATTTGGTGCAATCTGAGTGGATGAAAATAATACATATCTTCTTATACTCAACACTAAATGACAATATCTTAGAAATACATTTTTTTTTTAAATTTGCTTTGAACCAGTCCAATGTTTTAGAGTTTTAAATCAATAAATCTAGTTGTGGTAATGAAAAATTAGCATCTAGTTCACTATGTTTTCCAGTAGTTATTTCTCATTTCAACTTGTCATATTTTTGTTATTTTGCTGTTTTTTGGATTAAAATTGCAGGCCTGAAGTAAAGTTTATTCGAAAAATTGTTGAGGAAGTTTTGTATAAAGTGAGTCATACATATCTAAATTTCACCAAGCATCCAGTTGGAATGGATTCTCGTGTGAATGACATAAATTTGTTATTGAAGAGTGCATTAAATGGTGTCCGCATGATTGGGATCTATGGCATGGGTGGAATAGGCAAAACGACCATTGCGAAAGCTGTCTATAATCTAATTTTTCACCAGTTTGAAAGTGCCTATTTTCTTGCGAATGTTAGGGATGTTTCAAGGCAACGAAATGGTCTTGTTCATTTACAAGAGCAACTTCTTTCCAAAATTCTGAAGAAGAAGAATCTAAAGATTGGCAGTAGTCATAGAGGCATTTGCTTGATGAAAGAAAGACTTTGTTCTAAAAGAGTTCTTATCGTCCTTGATGATGTGGATCAAATTTGCCAACTAAATTCATTAGCAGGGAATCATGATTGGTTTGGTTCAGGAAGTAGGATCATTATCACAACTAGAGACAAGCATTTACTAAATGAAATTAATGTAGATGATAAATACGAGGCTAAGGAATTGATTTATGATGAGTCTCTACAACTCTTCAGTTGGCATGCTTTTGGACAACCCATGCCACTAGCAGATCATCTAGAGCTATCGAATGGCATACTGAAATACGCCGGAGGGCTTCCATTAGCTCTTGAAGTTTTGGGTTCATATTTGTTTGGAAAGAAAATGCCAGAATGGATACATGCATTTGAGAAATTGAAACAAGTACCTCAAAATCAAATTCTGCAAAAACTTCGATTAAGCTTCGATGCACTAGATGATTACAAAGTAAAGGATATCTTCCTTGATATTGCATGTTGTTTAATCGGAATGCATAAAGAGTGTGCAATTCACATACTGGATGGTTGTGGTTTCTTCTCAGAAATTGGAATTAGTGTTCTTACTAGCAGATGTTTACTAAAAATTAATGAAGAAAATCAACTGATGATGCATGATTTACTTCGAGATATGGGAAGAGAAATTATTCGCGAAGAATCTCCTAAAGAACCTGGAAAGCGCAGCAGACTTTGGTTTCATAAAGATGTATGTGATGTGCTAGAAAAACAGAAGGTAATCAAAAATTAATCATCTTTCATTCGGTAAAGATACTTTTCAGTTTGCAACATAATTATTTGGTGTAAATCTGTATATATGCTTTGATATACTTACACGCATAAACATGCTCTCTCTCTCTCTTTCTCTATTACACACACACACACACACACGTTCCTAGCCTATGCCTATAAGTTGCAAATTACTTATCAAATATGTGGTTGTTTCTTTATTAAAATTAGGGGACAGAAGCAATTGAAGGTATTGTCCTAGCCCTGCCGCTCTTAAAGAACATAAATGTGAGGACTAAAACATTTGCAAGGATGGAGAAATTAAGGCTCCTTCGCATTGATTATGTGAATCTTGATGGAAGCTTTGAACATCTATTTGGGGAGTTAAGGTGGCTCAGTTGGCATTACTGTCCCTTGACACATTTACCATCAGATTTTCGTTTGGAAAATCTTATTGCCTTAGACATGCAACACAGTGACATAAAAACACTTGGGTCAAATATCAAGGTATTGAAATTTTTGATAACTTTGTTCTTCCTTTAATTTTTGGATAATTTGCATAGTTCATTTTACAATCTTATTTTACTTGTATTTATCAGTTTCTAAAAAATCTGAAAGTCCTCAATCTTAGTCACTCTAAATTCCTTCAAGAAATCCGAGACTTCTCTGGGTTGCCAATGCTGGAGACATTATTGTTTGAAGGTTGTTCAGCTTTGTTCAAGATTCACTCATCAATCGGAGTTCTGAGTAGACTGACCTGCTTGAGTTTCAAAGACTGTGACAACCTTAGGAAACTCCCAAGCAGCATTTGCAATTTGATGTCGCTGGAACATCTAAATCTTATTGGCTGCTCAAATCTACAAGAATTGCCTGAGCATTTGGGAAATGTGCAATGCCTTAGGGAGCTTCTTGCCGATGGAACAGCTATTAAACAATTACCCTTTTCATGCGGACTTCTAAAGAACCTTACAAACTTATCGCTGCGTGGATGTAATCAAAATTTTCCAGCCAAATCTTTGTTTTCTCTCCTTTCATCTTGGGTTTCACCAAGAAGACATCCCGATTCTATCAGATTTCTACCGCCTTCTATTTCAGGTTTATGCTCCTTAACAACATTAAATCTGAGTGATTGCAACTTGTGTGAAGGAGACATTCCAGATGATCTCGGGACCTTATCCTCACTTGTAGTATTGAATTTAGAAGGAAATAACTTTCGTAGCCTACCATCAAGCCTTTGTCAGCTATCCAAGCTAAAAATACTCAGGCTACATGGTTGTAAGAGTCTTCAATCACTCGCAGAGCTTCCTCCGAATCTACATGGACTACGTGCCAGTGGTTGCCCATCAATGGAAAGACTACCAAATCTATCAAGCTATAAAAGATTGGCAGTCTTGCATCTTCCTACTAGCAGTAGATTATCTGAGATTCAAGGACTGGAGAACCTTGATTCTGTGCGAGTGATTTTCCTAGAAACCAGCAGTAATTTGGCAAATGCATTTATGGATAGTGTTCTTGAGGTTAGTCTCTCTCTCTCTCTCTCTTAGAGAAGCATGTAAAAACATGGGTATTACAAACTAGAAGTGAGTTGAGAAATGGAATGGTACTAAACTGTTAATTTGCGTACAAATATTGATTTAAAATCCTACTTTAGGCCTATTAATTTACAAAGAATACTAGTTTTAAATACTTCAATGCATTTATTGATTCTTTCGAGGATAAATTGGGAAGAAAATGAGAAAATTCTCTCAATATTATTAGGGGTAAATGTCACCACCATCCCTTGTATATAAGCGTAATTTTAGAAATATCCCCAGTGTTTTCTGAAATAATTGTCAGGTAACTGAGTAATGTAAAGTGACTTTGTACAAAATTACCCTTGATAGATCACTTTATTTTACATGTTTAACCTTTACTAATATTATATGTATAGATATATATGTATTAATTACTAATGCCTATTTTCCTCTGTATTAAATTAACATCCAATTAATTATTTTCATCAAATTAATATCAAATTGAACTTCAATTTCATTCAATTGACATTTAATTTTATTAATTTAAATATTAATTTCATCACACACCCGAGGAAGAGGTTGATTGAAACTCCATCAATATGCCATCATATATTAGTTTTAGGGGTAAAATTTGTAACTCACAAAAGAATAAGCCATCACATCACTACTTTTGTTGCTTGTTAGTAACAGCATAGATGGTAGGGGTGGTTTGTGAAACATTATATGAATTATAGGGTGTGTAGTGATATTTTAGAAATAAGAGGGGTGTAAGTGAAATATGACTTAAATTCAAGGGCTGTAAGTGAAATTTAACCCTATTATTAATTCATCCAAAACTATTTTGAGTGTATATAGGAGGCAAAATTATAAAATAAATTAGGAAAATAGAATCCTAATTAAATCAGGAAACTGAATAAAATACAATTCTAATTAATAAAAAAATAATTTTAAGCAACTTCTTAATTAAATTAGGAAATAATTAAAATTTCCTAGAAATTGTCTAATTGATTTAATTAGAAAGTAATTAGGCTCATCCAAACGGCCTTGATCACATTTATTCAAAACTTTTTCTTTATTCTACTTCTCTATCTCTCTTGTTGGGTTTCTTTTTTGTGGAATCTAGTTTGTGTGTGATTCGGATGTTAACCCGACCCGAATAATGTTGCGTGGTTTTTTAATGGAAATTTTTTGAGACTTAGTCCATGGAGCGGAGGCTTGGGCCGATTTGTAGCCCTGTGCGCAAGACATATATAAATTGATTATTCGGTGATTAGGGTTTGTGGATTGATTTTGTACGGCGGCCGCCTTCTCTGTATTCGTTCTTGAGAATAGTAAAATTCCTGCAACTTCGTGGAAGTAGGCAAATTGCCGAATTACGTAAATTCTGTGTTGTGTGATTGTCTGGATTGCATTCTTATCATTCTTTAATTTAATTTTACTTTATTGTCATCGTTTGATTTCATAACATCTCTCTCTCTCTCGTGTCACTGTTTCCATGCAGCAGGGACATTCTGAACATAATAGTTACAACATTTTCCTTCCAAGTAAGAGGATTCCCGATTGGTTCAGCCATCAAAGAATGGGATCTTCGTTATGCTTTGATATGCCATTACATGTGGAGCATAGGTTCTTGGGGATGACTCTTTGGGTTGTTTATGCTGCGGCCGACAATATAGGTTGCTTCAGCTGTCCTTCTGCTATTATCTATGATAAAAGCAATGGTGGTGAACGTATCCGTTTGAATACACTCTTTGGTATTCCAATAACCAGAGAAGAGCATTCGTGGGTGAGCTTTATACCACAAAGTTTTTTCCAATACCCTATGAAAGGTGGAGAAAGAATTGAAGTCTGTATCAAAATGAGCTCACCTCTGGAAGTCAAGAAGTGTGGTATACATCTGGTATACAAACCAGATATTCAACTACATAGTCAATGCATTGATGGAGATGTTTGCACACATGGAGTACTTGATTATGTGCATGCTAAGAGAAGCCGTGATATTGATGTAGTTGAAACAAGCTGCAACTTGGAAGACAGGTGCTCTAAAAGGTTAAGGATAGAGCTTGATGGGAAAGATTATGCTGCCGAAATTTCTTTTTTTGGTAGGTGTGAGATTATAAGCGGATCATTCTTCTGATTTACGGTGCAGTTCAGTGAGATTACGGTAAAATAAGATCTCTTGTGATTCACTTTTTTAGCAATTACTTAATCCTTGGGTTGTAACTGGACCCAAAGGAAATTGTATCAAATCCTTCACCAGTATACTTGTTCCCAGAGCTTTATTGTTCTAAGAATTGACCGAGTTGAACAGAGTTTTAAACTTTTTTTTAATCAATGTGAACCAAGATGCTTTCAATGTGCCACAAATCGCCATCTTTATCAATGAAAAGCATCCAATTTATTAGAGATTGGGCTGTCTCAGAGTATTACTTGACTGCGAGGTGTATAGATGTATATTTATTTGTGTATACGTAAATATAGACAGAAAAAGGAGGGTTTTGGGCAGATGGTGGTTTTGGAGGGAGGAAAGTGGTTCTGAGTGGATCAAAGAAATATTTAGAAATAACTCAGTAGAATTTCTTATTTTCTCATTGCTTATACTATATTGCCTAAATTGATAATGAAATTTGACAATAAAATACGTATTTCACTGTCCAATTCTTTTTACTATATAATTGTATTGAGATTGAACAACAAAATACATACTTCACTATCTAATTTTACTAATGATTTTATTTGACTGTCCAAGTTAACAGTGAAATTGAACCTTGGAAGCAGCCTCTATCTTCTCATCTTTTCTCAGGTATTTTGTTATGAAATCTTAATCCATTTCTATATTGAAATCTTAGTTGAATTCTCTCTCTTTGTCTATGTTATTCCTACTCACTCTCTCTCTCCCTCTCACTGGGAAATCTATTTATCCCTTGGAATGTAGGTGAAATTGTGTTTTTTCAACTATATATGCAAGCTCGTTCAAAAAAAAAAAAAAAACTATATATGCAAGCATTAACTTCTTTAAATTTGTATATGCTGTGCGTGCAAGATCCTGCATAATATAAAAAATATTGGGAACAGCTCTCTCCCCTGGTGAACTTTGAGTGAGCCGGTTGAGTGGCCAAACACACTGCTTGAAACAGCCTACAAGGAACGGTGGCAACCTGGAACGGCAAAGGAAGATCCTGGGAAAGGAAGAACGATCCTGTACTTGGGAAAGGTATTTCCTGGAACAAAGGAGAACAAGTTAGAAGGGCGCCGGAGTGTTTTCCGGCGTATCCCCTCCGACGGTCTAGTCAGTCTTTGAATGAGAGAGAGGAAGGAGAAAACACTGATGAGGATATTTTGTAGTAGTGAGTTTGTGATTGCATACCTGCTTTGCCTTTTGGGAGGAGTATTTATACCTTAGAAGCTCATGATTGCTGTCAGTGTGGTCAGTAGGTGATCATCAGGCACAGGTAGCGTGTGTATTGATTTGATGAGGAATGTCTTCTCTAATTGATTGCTCGGGATCCCGAGCAATCAATTATGAGCCGTCGGGACGCCGACGGTACAATATGATCCTTTTGGGAAGGATGCAATAAATGCTCTGTAATAGGAGCATTTATTGCCTTTCATATCCGAACCTTACCGCATTGAATGCGGTCTCGTCAACAGAAGGGTGCAATTAATTTGTTTGCTTTCCCAAGTCGCGTGTCAGCGACGGCATGCGTCTGTCTGCTTCTGATGTGACATTATTTGCCACGCGTCCATCCCTTATTGGCTGTGACGTCGGTATTCCAGCGTGTTCTGACATTACTTGTGCTAAGACGAGGTTA